TGTAGTTCAGCCTCTGACCACTAGTTGGCAGCAGTGAGCGCTCACTGCTGCCAACTAGTGGTCAGAGGCTGAACTACATAAAAATGAACAGCTGACAGGAAAGCTGACATTTTAAACCTTAATAAAAAATCGATACAGGGCTTTAGAATATCGATACAGTATCGGGAAATGAAATATCGCGATATTTCAGTGTATCGATATTTTCTTACACCCCTACTAAATAAGTTGTGTTTTTGTCTTATTTTGTAGAACTACTACATAAATAGGCCTGGCATTCGTTGAAGGAAATGCACATCACCCGCTGCCTTTCATGATCCATGAAAGAGTGTTCTAGTTGTTTTGGTCAAACTTTGAAAATAACGTCAGACAGTTTTAGTGACGTCACGCTCATCGTACGTTTGGGATGAACACGTCGCTCAACATCTGTCAAACTGACTGAGTTCACACACGGTGCATTATCACCCTTCAGCAGTGGGTTATTTATTTTAGTCTGGTCTCAAGAATCTGTCTCACATAGTAAACCAAATACTCAAATAAAATTAACAAATGCACCATAAATCTTTTAGTAATACGCAACGATGACTCTCCTGTGTAACATCACCAGCATGGGGTGAGTGTGGCTCAGCTGTGAGCGATGACCTCATCCAGTTAGATGTGTTGTTGTTTATTTCCAGACCCCATCCAGCTCTGTTTTAAAACGCCTCTAACCCAAACCTAAACGCCTTTATTAGTAACCAAAAATGATTCGTAGCTTTCATTTACATGACGTTTTCCTATGTTTCAGTGCTTTGTTGGGCAACCAACAGCATCAGAATCCAGACCTTCTGTCTCCAAACCTGAGGCCGAGACACCAGGATCTTATCCCCACACCATGTGGACCAGTGAGACTCTTCTTTTGGTTTTAATCCCAAACAAAGTGCAACCCGACATTTGAACCGCCGGGTCGTTTTGCGTCCCTTTTATCCCCTCTGTCTCCTCCACCTGCAGATCAAGGCCTGGTCGGAGCTGTCGACACTGGTGAAGTTCTACTTCTGCTTCACCATCGCCTCTCTGCTGGCGCTGCTCGGCCTCACCTCATACAGCATCTACAAGCAGCACATGAACACCGACGTGTCCGACGAGGACAACTTCACCGTGTCCATCATTCAGTTCGTCGGCATATGTGAGTACCGTGTTACCCAGGAGGGGGATTTTACGCCCGTTTTTTTTTTTTCTCAGCTGGGCGTGCCGGCGGCCAGAAACAGAAGTTTTTCCGCTGACATCACGTGATGAAAAACTGTGGAGAGCAATCTGTGAGCGTGCTCGCATGAATCGAGACTTGTGACCCGCCGGTAGCTCTGCTTCCTTATTTTGTGCTGCCGCTTTCAGGATGAGTCCACTATTTTGCAACCGACTGCATTTCAACTAAAAAAACAATGTTTGCACAGAGTGTTACACGAACACACTCTGGAAGATTTTTATTTTTTAATTTTTGCATTTTACGAGACTCATTACCAAAGCTTAGTGTGACCAAAGCTTGCTTATAAAATGTCAATCACCTGTCAGTCATCAAGTAACCTGAAACTGATGAGTTGTGTTCCTGTTTAAAGTGGCTGCATCAAATCAAAACACGCTCCTGTTGCTAAAACAGCCCTTTAGAGCAGAAATGACAGCATTTGATTTAAATATGATAAAATTTTGTTTAATATTTGGGAATATAAGTAGAAATATTGCTTTCATGTGTTGAGGGATGGAATAACAGAAAACTGGAATGACTCTGGTTGTGTGTGTTTTTGTTCCTCACAGTGTTCTGCATCTACTACATCACCCGCGGCGTGATGCAGGAGAACAGACAGGAGCTGGGGGCGTTCGTGTTCAGCGTGTTGGCCGTCATGATCCGATCCGTGGTCAACTTCTCTGTGGTGGGGTCAAAGGGCGAGCCGGATCTGTTGGTGAGTTGAATCTTTCTCTGCACGCTCAGACACGACCTGCAGGAAGAGAGAAAACCACACCAGTTCCACAAACATGAGGTGTCAAGCTGCAGAATTATTAGAAATTGTTGTTGTCCGCAGTTTCTGTAAATGCAACACGGAAACAAGAAAATAATCAGGATCATGTCTGAAGTTATAAAAACAAAATGTAAAAATTTAGAAGAGACAGAACAATTTTATAAACCTGTTTCACTTGTTTGGACTGCTGGCTCTTTGTTACAAGTAAAAAATGCTTTTAGCTAGCCTTTTATTGTCTTTACCTAGTGTTTTACTATATTTAGCTTTTAGATAACCTTTTACTACTTTGGCTTTTAGCTAGCTTTTTGATTCTTTAGCTAGTGTTTTGCTACATTTAGCTTTTAGCTTGCTTTTTGCAACCTTTAGCTAGTGATTTTCTACATTTAGCTTTCAGCTAGACTTTTACAACTTTTAGTTAATCTTATGCCACAAAAACTTTTAGCTAGCTTTTTGATTCTTTAGTAGTGTTTTGCTACATTTAGCTTTTAGCTAGCTTTTTGATTCTTTAGTAGTGTTTTGCTACATTTAGCTTTTAGCTAGCTTTTTGCAATCTTTAGCTAGTGTTTTGCTACATTTAGCTTTTAGCTAGCTTTTTGCAATCTTTAGCTAGTGTTTTGCTACATTTAGCTTTTAGCAAGCTTTTTGCAATCTTTAACTAATGTTTTGCAACATTTAGCTTTTAGCTAGCTTTTTGCAACCTTTAGCTAGTCTTTTGCTACATTTAGCTTTTAGCTTGCTTTTTGCAATCTTTAACTAGTGTTTTGCAACATTTAGCTTTTAGCTAGCTTTTTGCAACCTTTAGCTAGTCTTTTGCTACATTTAGCTTTTAGCTTGCGTTTTGCAACCTTTAGTGTTTTGCAACATTTAGCTTTTAGCTTGCGTTTTGCAACCTTTAGCTAGTGTTTTGCTACATTTAGCTTTTAGCTAGCTTTTTGCAACCTTTAGCTAGTGTTTTGCCACATTTAGCTTTTAGCTTGCTTTTTGCAACCTTTAACTAGTGTTTTGCTACATTTAGCTTTTAGCTTGCTTTTTCAACCTTTAGCTAGTGTTTTGCCACATTTAGCTTTTAGCTTGCTTTTTCAACCTTTAGCTAATGTTTTGCTACATTTAGCTTTCAGTTTGACTTTTACAACTTTTAGTTAATCTTATGCCACAAAAACTGTTAGCTTTTTTTCAACTTTGAACCTTTAGCGAGCACTTTGCAGCTTTTGTTTTTTCTAGAATTTTTTTAACTTTAGGCTTTAGTCAGCATTTTACTATTTTTGGTTTTAAGGCAACATTTTACAACTTTTAGTTGTAAAAATTTTTTTACCTTCTTCAGCAAATTTAAGTAAAGCCATTTAGCACTCAGCATTCACAATCAATTCCTCGAGTTTTTCATAATTCCTAACAAAATTATTGTTAAGAACAAATTTTTTTCAGATTCCAGTTTTCTCAGACTAAACATCTCTCTCTTCAGACAATATGAAGCTAAAAGAAGAAAAAACTTGATCGCTGTTGAGTTTCACAGTGATGAAATCAATTTAAGGAAACAAGTTTTATTTTTAGAAACAAAAATAATTTGAAATTTGATTGAAGCTGTAACAATATTGTGTTTTTAAACCGCCGTTAAACTTTCAGCTTCCTTCCTGCTCTGTCACATTTTCACCACTAGATGTCACTGTTGTCGTTTCAATCAGCCTGATGGTCAGATCATCTTCTTATCTTAAAGCTGATGATCGTTGTGTTTTTCTGAATAAGAAGCTGCAGATGATAAATACTCCATCCGTCCATCCGTTAGCCAGGTCATTAAAGTTAAAGTTCAATAGGGGACTAAAATTGCAAGATTTGTTTACATTTTCAGAACCCTGTGAACAACCTGCTCATAAGCCAAATAATGGCATAAACATAGAAAGTGACACAACACTAAACACATCAACAATTTAATCAAATGTGACCGCAAAGATGTGCAAATAAAAAAGGAAAAAAGATATGACCTGTACCTGCTGCCTTTAAGAACACAAATAATGCAGTAGTCAAGTAATATCTGAAAATAAATAATAAACAAAAATGTCTAAATACGTCTAAATACATCTTTAAATATTCATGTCAGTTTTTTGTTTTTGAACTAAGACGATCAATCATCTCTCTAAACAACAAAATATTATCAGTTGTAGATTTATTTCGGACCAAAGTAGAAACAATAATAAAATAAAATGTATTTTGGAGTGTGAAGGAGAGAACATCTGTGAAGACCCAGTCCAGATACCTGCTTTCTTCCTGCTATTCTCGAAGTCAATGAGATGTCATCCAGTCATGTGGTTTTAACCTCCATGTTTGTGTGGGGGTTAAGTACTCTGAGTCAAAAGCAGACAAAAATAAAAAACTATAAGAAACTATACACCAGTTTTAAAAGACTGTTCCACTTCGAGAGTAATGGTTATGATTTCTCCTTACGTGAGATACGTCTGCATTATGATCCCTGCTCCTGGGTCTTGTCTAAAGTCTCCTCCCTGACGTTGCTCTTTGTACTGCGGCATTAAAGGTTCATATTAAACACGTGGAAAGAAAACCAGCACAGCTTCTGCACAGAATTTAAATACCATTGGGTTTGTCTGTAGCAGGGGTCTGCAACCTTTACGATCTAAAGAGCCATTTCTGCTACTTGACGCACTAATAAAATGTGTCCAGAGCTGCAAAACAAGCTGCAACTGTGATTTTCAACTGGTGGTCCGTGGGCCTTTTCAGCGCCTTTTCTGGAACCTTTATGGCCAGTGGAGGTGACATTATAAAACTAAAAAATATATTGTGAATTTTATTATTTATTATTATTTTTACACACCAGGTCAAATGAATGTAAACAAGAAAAATACTATAAATAATTTATAACGAATTTCATAAAAACGAAAACAGCTGAACTGTTCAGGCATATATATTTTTCTAATTCTTGTTATTATGTAGTCTTCATATTTTTTTAAAGGTAATTCTGATGGATTTGAGAGAAAGTTCATAGAAAGAAGTTGCGTTATTGAAGTGCATAGCATGCTAGCATGAGCTAATCAACACATTTAACTTTTTGTATTATTATTGATAACATGCATACAAATTGATTTCTGTTGTGGGTATAAAAAAACAAACAAACAAAATATTCTGTTATGTTTGGCCACACTTTCAAAGAGCCAATGCTGAGGGACCAAAGAGCCACATGTGGCCCCAGAGTCACAGGTTGCAGACCCCTGGTCTATAGCATTAACTAACTAGAAAGGGATGTAACGGGTAACAACTAATCTTGTTGACTAGCTAAACGTTAATGTAACTCGTTTAGCTAACATTGTCTGTGGGTAAAACTGTGCGAAGCAGGACGTCTCCCCTCTGTCGAAACTGTTGTTATGGCACAGGTGCAGGAAGTGCGGGGAGACATGTCCCACACGTATCCTGCGTCCGTTACGTCCTCACTGCCCGGGGCCCTTTAGAGGCCGTGGGCCCCTGGGCAATCGCCCCGTCGCCCATACGGTTAATCCAGCTTAAACTTGACTCGATGTTAAAGTCATGTAGCAGTCGAGCACAAGTCAGTGGAATCAATTAAATGTCACCTGATAAATAATTTCCTGAATATGTTTGTTTGTTCGTGTCAGCGGGAAACTCGTGAGAATTTTCTGACGAAGCTGCAGACAGTTTGGGACGTGCAGTTTGTGACTTTTAACTAATGAGAGCTGCAGGAGACTCGACGTGCAAATTCCAGCTGCGAGGCTGCGTGACGATCAGCCCGTCCACCTGTTGGACTGAAAACTATGAAGAACCAGATGAACTTTTGAACATTTTGATGTTCGTGTTCTTTAAAGAGACACTACAAAGCTGTCGTCAGTGTGGTCTGCCAGCGAATGTCACTAGAGCGACATGCAATTTAGTCATGTTTATTTTATCTGTGTGCGTGCGTGTGTGTGTGTGTGTGTGTGTGTGTGTGTGTGTGTGTGTGTGTCTCGCACTAAAAATAACTATCCTTGTGAGGACATTTTGCCCTTGTGAGGACATTTCTCTGGATGTTCATGTTCTCTAAAGAGACACTACAAAGCTGTCATCAGTGTGGTCTGTCAGCGAATGTCACTAGAGCGACATGCAATTTAGTCATGTTTATTTTATCTGTGTGTGTGTGTCTGTGTGTGTCTGTGTGCGTGTTGCAGGCTCGCTTCGTGTGCATCATGCTTCTGGGCATGGTGCACGTGCTTTGCACCATGCTTCTGATCCGGAGCCCCAACATGATGGCGTTCCGTGTCGGCGGGGCCCTGGAGAGCCTCCAGGAGCAGTACTTCCTCCTCAACCTGTGCTTCTCCATGGTGACCTTTGACCTGCAGGCTCAGGTACACCTGCTCCTCTCTTCAACGCAGACACGATCAGCAGAACTCTGACTTCACTGAGGCGGTGCCGACTGTGAGGCGTGGGTGATTTGTCTGGTTGTTCGTCACCGGCTTCAGGACATCCAGATTAGAAACGTTGCAGATGATCATCAGAGATCAAGTGTTTCTGGAACCTTTTCTTTCCTTCTGTGCTGAGTCATCGTGTGTGTGTGTGTGTGTGTGTGTCCTTTCCAGCTGTGTCTCTGCATCCTGATGACGACGACTGACCCGTCCATGTCGGCTGCCAACACCATAATCCTGGCAGTGGGTGTGGTCTGGGCCTGCCTGACCGCCGCCGTGGGGGCCGTCGCGGTGAGCGCCGCTCTTCCGTTGTTTGTTTTGAGAGATGAGAAACGGAGCAAAGATGGAAATGTCACAAACAGTCAGACACACGGGTTTAAACTATTAGCTGAAAGAAACTTTGATCTTTTTTCTGCTGATTCGGCATAATGTCTTTCCTTATACATTTCAACTTAATTCTTTTACACATATTCTGGTCTTTTAGTCATTTTATTAAAACATTCAGCTAAAACTGGAGATGGGTGATGATGCCATTTTTTAATATAAATTTTATACTGTTTTAATTTATTTATAAATATTTTCCCCATAAAAATACAGACAGACCTCTTCAGTTTCTTCAAAAACATTCTGCTCTTTGAAAACTGCTTCAACAAACTTTGTTTCTTTTAATTTCAGCTTATACCTAATGTTTTGATACTTTTAGTTAGCTTTTTACTACTAGTAACATTTGTCATTCTTTTGCTGATTTTAGTTAAATTTTAGCTATTTGTTAAACTTTAGTAGCTAGCCCTTTGCTACTTTTAGCCTCTAGATAACGTTTTGTTACTTATAGCTAACCTTTTGATGGTTTTAGCAAGTGTTTTGCTTCTTTTAGCTTTAATATACCATTTAGTTAATTTTAGCTAACATTTTGCTACTTTTAGCAAACCTTTTGCTGCTTTAATGACCTTTTAAGGCTCTTAACAGAAAGCATTTAGATAACATTTTGTTTTTAGCAAAGCCTTTGCTACATTAAGTTTGTGTTTTGCCACTTTTAGCTTTTAGCTAGCCTTTAGTTGATTTCAGCTAACATTTTGCTTCTTTTAGCTAATATTTTCCTGCTTTAATGACCTGTAAGACCTCTAACAAAAAGCGTTAAGATAACATTTTGTTCCGTTTAGCTGAAATTTGCTGCTTTAAGCTTATCTTTTACCACTTTTAGCTAGCCTTTAATTGATTTCAGATTGGATTTTGTTTCTTTTAGCAAACTTTTGCTGCTTTAATGACCCGTAAGACCCCTAACAAAAGGCGTTTAGATAACATTTTCTCTTAGCTAACCTTTTGCTGCTTTAAGCTTATATTTTGCCACTTTTAGCTTTCAGCTAGCCCTTCCCACTGCATGCTGCATTTCCAGTTTATTGATGCTAACATTGACCCACTTCTGATTCAAACGGAGCTCCTCGGTTTAGCAGCAGGTTAAAATGTTTCAAACACTGGAGGAGAGGAACAGGTCGGGCTGCAGAGGGTCACAGAAACTCGCTGCAGGACCTGATCTGTTTTACGTGTCAGAATGTTAATGAGGCTCAACTCTTACATGCAGCAGTGGCTTTAAAGGGCCTGTGACATGCATATTCTTCACATACAAAAAGTCAGAAAACATATTTATATTTAAGAAAGTTGGAATAATACACATGATTTAACCCATTTTGTCCCATAACTGTTATATTTTCTTTTGAACTTGGCTCAGCCAAAGGGAAACAGGAAGTGACCTCAAAGGGGAACTCTTTAACAAAGAAAACTCTCTGGTCTTTGTCTATTGAAACAATATTATTTGAACTCTGACTCTTCATCTCTCTGATAGTGACTCAAAATAATCTTAAGAAACATCAGATTCTTCTCTACAGTTTGGGTTGTTAGCTGTTGTAGCAAAGCTCTCTTCTCATGCAGACATTCCCCTTTGACATCACTTCCTGTTACTTCACAGGCAAATATCTCAACAACTGTTCATCTCAGCGACGTAAAATTTCTTTTGCAATATTTTATCAACGTCTTTCTAAAAATGCTTTCATATGTATTACAAAAATTTGACGTCACAGGCACTTTAATGCACTTGTTTGTTTTTTTCAGGTTTTAAAGGAAGCCAAGGTGCTGGTGTGGGTCTTCATGGTGCAGAACATTCCCCAAGTGGCCTTCTTTTTTTATCTCATGTACACGGTGAGCAAACGTTGACGAATGTCTCCACGCAGCCGGCTGACCTCCAATAAAATCAGCTTCGCAGGTTTGAACGCACCCCCCGGGCCTCCCTGCAGGTTTATCTTTTAAAATTCTTCTTTCTGGAACAAACGGCTGTTCCTGTAGCGATTGTAAACCTTTCCAAACCGGTTTTACCCGCTCGAGTTCCTGACGAGAGAATCTCGAACATTTCTGGAACTGCGGGTTTTAGCGAAGCTTTGTCAAGCGGTTTTGAAGGTTCGAGTCAAACTCCGCCCAGGTTTTGATTCTAGACTTTGCATCAACACAAAACTGCAGCGTTGTTGGAGTTAAACACAAGCTACAGATTTAATGGTTGTGACTTTTTATTGGCAAGAAATAAAAAAAAGATTCTTTAGACTGCAACCGAGGAGTAAGGCTGCACAAGGAGATGTTTTATTATTATTAGAATAAAGTCATAATACAAGTAATATTATGACAATTTTTCTCATAATAATAAAAAAACCTTAGTCTGGCCCTAATACTCTGTTGTACTAAACCACTTTAAATCTGCAAAATGAAGCGTTACGGTCCAAATGATATTTAAGGACAATATTGTTAGATCAGGGCTATTCAACTAAATTGCTCCGGGGGCCACAGTTACTGCAGACCAACGGCACAGGTGCCGAACATCCAGCAATTAACGTCATTATGTAAATAAACCAAGTAATACAAAGATCTGTTACCTTTGAAATAGTTTGTTTTGCTGTATTTAATCATGGATACAACATACAGAACCCTATGTAATAAATGTAGTGATAGTAAAACAATATAAAAAAACAAAAATAACACAAATATTATTTTGACAACTCTGATTTGACAAAATTTTAAACCGATTTTATTTTTACTTTTATAGTTTTATCTTCAACTGCTTGTAGTTTTAACTGT